CATAAAAAATAATAATATAATAAATTTAATTCAATAATATAATCAAACCAAAAACACTGAAATTTGAAATATAGCGCCAAGTTCGCACATCACTGAGCAAAGTCGCAAAATCGTTTTCAGTGTCTGATGACGAATTTCCCCCACGAATCATTATCACTCAATTCTGCAAGTGGTTCTGATTTACTATCGCTGTTCTCTAGCTGGTCTAAAACCACTTTTGACCTAAAGGGACGCTTTTTGGACCCCATGGACGTTTCTGAGTTTCCAGGCAGAAAGAACAGTAAAAATGCAGGCAGGGCACAGGACAAAGCACTCGGGACAAAATGTATGTGAAATGGTTTGATACAGTAATGTTATACTATGTGATTTTAGTGTATTTAGTGAATGTCACTTTTTGTCATTTTCAAATTTCCTGCCGTTCCGTCCCCCGTACGTCCCGACGCTCGCAGGGGACGGAACCCAGATGACAGATGCTGGCATCCGCTGGATTACATTGCCGGGGACACTGCAGGAGGGACATCGCTAGACAAGGTAAGTGATCGAGGGATCACGGAGCAGTGCCGCATGGTATTCCCGAGTGTAGCTCGGGGTTACCGCTTTTGGTACTGAAACTTTACCCCGAGCTACACTCGGGAATACCGCCAGGGAGGCTATGGTGTGAGTTTGTGTGGTGGAAGTTATTACTTTAACAATAAAAATAGGTGGAGGGTTTAATAATACTTTAATGCTTTGTATATTGAGCCTTTTGTCTGATAATAAGTGTAGAGTTGACTCACATAATTGCTGTCCTGTCAGCTGCCTGAACCCCTGCAGATAACCCCTGATGTTTTCCAGCTCCCATGTGTGAACTGGAACAGGTAAGTCTCAGTTTACAAGATACACCGCCTGTGAATCACACAGGAACCGTACTGCATTCCTGTGCAATTCACATGTAATTCAGCATGGTGCAATTTGAGCCCATTCATTCTTAACTGACTAAAATCACATTGCATCGCACCAAAGACGTGCATGCACCTTTTTTGGAACCAGATTGCATGTATGTTTTGTACCATGTGATCCAGTTCAAGCAAATGCAGTGTTTGCAACCTTCATTTGCAGTGTTGTTAAAGTGGAGTTCTAGCTGAAAAAAAAAAAAAATAAATCAGCAGCTACAAAAACTGTAGCTGCTGACTTTTAAAATAAAACCACTTACCTGTCCTTCGGTCCAGAGGTGTCCTCACCACGGCTGGTTTCACCGGCTGTCTTCTCTCCCTGGTGCCGGTATCTTCAGCGTGGGAACCCGGCTGTGACAGCTTGCGGCTTCACTGTGCCCACTGCGCATGCACGAGGAGCTTTGTAAATGGCCCCGTAGTCTTCTGGGACCTGTCACGTGTCCCAGAAGACTGCAAGGAGGGAGGGGGTAGGACAACTTCCGCTTCCAATCACAGGGGAAGTGGGAGCGGGTACCTGTCAAATACGTGTACCCACTCCCCCCCCCCGCTCCAAAAAGGTGCCAATCCTTAATGGGGAGTGGGGGAGAAAGCAATAAAGCGGAACTTCCTCTTTCAGGTGGAACTCCGCTTTAAGATTGCACTGACACCTGCTGCAGATTGCAAGGGCAGTGCAATTGAAATGCAGAATGGGAAACTTGCACGGATCTCAGTGTAATTCCTAACTCCAGGCTAATTTTTATTTGTACCCCTGAAGGCTGCAAAACCTTCATCTGGTACAATTTTGTGTTGACAAATTAAAAAAAAAAAAAAAAAGCTATGCTATTTTTGTTATGTTATACATCTAAAGGCAGGTGAGAATGTATTTTTAATGGACATACAGAAAGAACATTTACTAACACACTGATTCAGTAAAACACACATAAAAGCTAGGTTATGGGAATATTCTAGTGACTATATGGGGCTAACTGCTGAGATCAAGGAAAACCCTCATTTTGTAAGATCCTACATACCAGTGTACACACTGGTAAACCTGGGGGCTGTGGGTTAGGGGTCTCCAGCACTAAGCAGATGACTTCAGCTAGGGTTTTCCATTTAAGAAAAACAACCTATTCACATACTGTATATACAGCTTAGTCTGGTATTAATTAGTTCTGCTTGATACATCTTTGCAATTTCCAGCAAAGTACATCTTCCATAGGGATGAATGGAAACGCAAAACACATAAAACATGATCACTGCAATCTCACCACAAGAAAAGGTCATGTCCAGAAAAAGCAGGATCAGCACATCTTAAAACTTCACTTATTAAACGCATCTTGGCAAAAATGTAGAAAAAAACAACTAGTCTACATTAAAAGATGTGTTTCGACCTAAGAAGGTCTTGGTGTGAACAATAAATCCTAAAAGGTGGTTTTACTTTCCAGCCCTGTTCTAGGAATTCTCCAGGAAGTCACAGGAAATATTGTTTGAGAGATTCCTGTTTGTACCACCTTGCTTTCCCGATGGACCTCTCTCCATTTTAATTAGGTAGGAGACATACTGGGGGACACTTCCTTCTAAACAGAAAGTCTGGCATTGGTTTAAAGGGAAAGTATTGTCTACTTATTTTAGCATACTCAGTGGTTTGAAATATTGACTTGAAATCAAAATATGATTTAAGTAATTAACAAAATTAAACTGAACAAAAGGCCCATGTCCTAAATAAACATTTTTTAAACAAGTGCAGAAGGTTATGGGAGTCTGATCCACCATCTGTGCCATTTACAAAAAGTCTTCTCCGTACGTATAAACAAATAGACAGACCTAACACTTATGTGAAGTGTTTCAATAATACATATGCTGCCAGTTACTGCCTGTGCCCAGTGCTCAGCACAGCATATGCAGCTAGAAAAGGAAATTAAATGCCTCCATGTTGAAATTAGTCACACATTTACTATATCTATAACTCGTATGGAGCAAAACATTTGCTACTATTCCTTTGGCATGTTCTTACTGCAGGGAAAAAAACTGATTCTTTATTATTAGCAGTGTGGTATTTTTTGGATAGCATTGGGAAGTGCTAGAAACTCTGTTAGGTTTTCATTTACATCTGTGTCCTTGTTGACTTTATTTACTTATTTCCCAGTGACCACGCAGGAAGTGAGGGTTAACTTCCAAATGGGTTTCAACCCTTCCCCACTCTGCTTTTTATTTTGATTCCCTGTTGGAAAGACATTTCTCACTTTAATTTGTCGAACAGCAGAGAGCATCATGCAGATACACTAAATGAAGGCCCGATAAGGAGGTTTTGGATCATTCGGTGCTATTGTTTTACATTAAATGTACCACTACCAGTTTTTTAACATGTCCTTTGTCCTGGTCTATACCTGCCTCTGATGGTCTAGAAACACTTTGACTGCTATTAATACAATAAAGTATTTTCACAGCAGCTATACAAGATAAGCCAAATCAGCCACGTCCATCTTTCACCATCATTCTTGTTCCAAAGGGAGTTTGGCTGTTTTGATTCATACATTCTGGTAGAAATTAAAACATGACAGAGATCGTATTCCTTCCTCAATCTTTTCAAAGCAAAAAAAAGTTTTGGTTTGAGGATTAACTGTAGGCAATGTGCTGTTCTGCTTCTAGTAAAAGTAGTCTAGTAAAAGACAAAAGGTTGACCCTTCTTAGTAAAGGGGATTCTTGTGGTTAATCTATCCATTAAAATATACAGCAAAGTCCTCCTGCGCTTAAAGGGAGTGTACCCTAATGTAAAGCTGCCAACACTCTGAACTGATACCCAAACAGTGTATACAAATAATGAAAAACAGTGCAGAGCTTCCCCAAATAAATTAAATAAATAAACGAATATGTGTACATATATAAACATATATAAATAAACACATAATGAGTGCCAAAAACAATGTGCCATGGTCACCTAGGTGACCTAAAAAAGTGATATCCACAACAAAACAATGACAAAGACCCCTATGGATACGGGGATAGAAAACAAACAAGTGATAAGTGCCAAATGTGACCACACTCCAAATCACATATAAACACACTAAATACTCTAATAGTCCATAAATAAATTGATGGGTGCTTCATATAATCATGCAACGTGCAAATGGTGTTTAAGGTCTGTGAAGGTGTCAGCACACTTCTTCCACTGTGGCTACAATGCCTCCTCACCTCCTTCCAGCGACCCCAAAGGGCCAAAAAGCCTTCAGGATCACCCTGGATCCTTTTCAATCCTGGCTGGTATTAATGCACCTGTAGTACCTCTCCTACAAGTTTCCAGGTCCCTCAGGAAGGATACCCCGAGGAAGTCACGAGTTTGAGTGACGTAACGCGTAGGTACGCAATACGCAGCTTCCGGTGCGCGGTGATGCACTGCCGGCGCTGGACGCCATCTTGGCATACCTAGGAAGTCCCATACACATTGGAGAGGAATGGAGACTGCACAAAATGTGAGTGGAATTGATTTACATTGAATAAAGGAGATTTGGGCTTACTAAATACTGCACTATGGAGGATCTTTTGTTGCTCACTGTGTTGGTGAGATACATATCCTGCAGAATATCCTTCCTGAGGGACCTGGAAACTTGTAGGAGAGGTACTACAGGTGCATTAATACCAGCCAGGATTGAAAAGGATCCAGGGTGATCCTGAAGGCTTTTTGGCCCTTTGGGGTCTCCTGAAGGAGGTGAGGAGGCATTGTAGCCACAGTGGAAGAAGTGTGCTGACACCTTCACAGACCTTAAACACCATTTGCATGTTGCATGATTATATGAAGCACCCATCAATTTATTTATGGATTATTAGAGTATTTAGTGTGTTTATATGTGATTTGGAGTGTGGTCATATTTGGCACTTATCACTTGTTTGTTTTCTATCCCCCATATCCATAGGGGTCTTTGTCATTGTTTTGTTGTGGATATCACTTTCTTAGGCCACCTAGGTGACCTTGGCACATTGTTTTGGCACTCATTGTGTGTTTATTTATATAAATCTATCCATTAGGCTAATTGATTGGGAGACAAGGACTCTAAACTTTTGCTTGTGTTATACATAAAGTAAAATAGCTAATTAATTACCTGAAAGGGAAGGTGGAGAGCCGACTGGAGTTGAAGGGTTGGATGAGAAGCTGTTGTTGGTGTGATCGGGTGAATAGATCTTGAAATGGAAACAAAAAGACTTGAGTCAAACTTTCTGTTACAAATACAGGCATACTTAAAGCTGAAAGTAGCTTAAAGCAGACCTTGCACCTCAGTTGAAATCATCTTCTTTCCAGGGAATGTTGGGTAACCTAAATCTCTAAAGAAGATGATCGTCTGCTCTGCGAATTGGGCTACTCAGCATTCCCTGGGATCTTGTCAGCTCCCATGATTCCTTAGCTCCAGATCTCCTATAACTCTACAATGCAATTTTTGAGGTCCAAAGATTCATATCACCCCAAAACCTATAGACTAGAGCAGGGGTCTCCAAACTGCATCCCGCAGGCCAGATGTGGCCCTTTGCTTGCTTTTATCCAGCCCTTGGGACACTTTACCTATCACTGATACACAGCACTATTCCTTCCATTGACACCAACGATGGAGTGCTATTCTTCCCACTGACACCAACGATGTGACTCTATTCATCCCACTGACACCAATGATGGGGCAATATTCCTCCCACTGACACCAATGATGGGGCACTATTCCTCCCACTGACACTAACGATGGGGCACTATTCCTCCCACTGACACCAATGATGGGGCACTGTTTCTCCTACTGATCCCAATGATGGGGTACTGTTCCTCCCACTGACACCAGTGACAGGGCACTGTTCCTCCCACTGACAACAATGATGGGGTACTGTCCCTCCCACTGATTCCACGATGGGGCACTGTCCCTCCTACTGACACCAGCAACAGGGCACTGTTCCTCCCACTGACACCAGTGATGGGGCCCTGTTCCTCCCACTGACACCAGAAATAGGGAACTAATTATCCCACTGACACCAACGATGGGGCACTGTTCCTCCCACTGACACCAGTGACAGGGCACTGTTCCTCCCACTGACACCAGAAATAGGAACTAATTTTCCCACTGACACCAACGATGGGGCACTGTTCCTCCCACTGACCACCAAGCCTAGGGTATTGTTTACTCCTACTGATGCCAGGGCATTTTCTACTCCCACTGGCCAAAATCCGGCCCCCCTAAACTTTAAGGGCAGTAAACTGGCCCTTTGTTTCAAAACTTTGCAGGCCCCCTTGGACTAGAGGTTTCCAAACTTTTTAGTAGAAGGGCCAATTAATATATTTAACATATATTCGAAGGCAGAAAAAAAAAATAAGTCCCCCTTACATCACGGTCCCCCCTTACATCAGGGTCCATATCAGAGTCCTCTCTTACATAAGGGTCCCCATAAGAGCCTCCCACTAATATCAAGGTCCCCATCAGAGTCCCTTTTTACATCTGGATTCCTATCAGTGTCCTCCCCTAACATTAGGATGATTTACATCAGGTCCTCATGAGAGTCCATCCTTACCTTAGGGTTCCCATCATAGGGGGAGATTTACTAAAACTGGAGCACTCAGAATATGGTGCAGCTGTGCATGGTAGCCAGTTAGCCTCTACCTTCACCTTTTGTAACTTGAACAAAAACTGATTGGTTTTTGCACCATGCATTTTTAGTAAAAAAACCTATAGTCTTCCCTTACATCAGGATCCCCATCAAAGTCCCCCATTTACAACATGTCATTATCAGTGTATAATCACAGGGTTCCCATCGGAGTGCCCTCTTACCCTAGGGTCCCCATAACAGTCACGCTTACCACTGTAAGGCTAAAGGCGGGATTGTAGCAGCAGGGCGGGAACCGTGGGGTGGAGCAGTTCTAGATGGAGGAAGTTCCTAGCGATCCTAACAACCAACCATGAAAATGACAGTGCAGCAGTAAAAACCTAGACATTACAGGGCAAAGAGTGTAACAGAGACTTGAATAGCCTCTGCTGATGTGAATCCTCAATCTATGCATATTGAGAGTTTGCCCCAAAGTCCAGGTTGGTGCAGTTTGGAGACCTCCGCTCTAGACTAATCTTCCTTCTGCAGGTTGATGTAAAAATGCTCTATAAAAATACATTTAAAGACTTTTAATGAATACACAACTGCATGTTTGGGTGGGTTTTTTTTAATATCTGCCTGGAAATTAATTTTAATACAACTGAGATAAACCGTAATGAGTGAGTGCTGAATCAGCATATTATCAGCAGTTTATGAATCTACCTATATTTCAAAATTGGACCGCACTAAGGTCACAAATTGACAAAATAAACTGTGCAATCATTAAAGTGATAACACTGAGCAAAATACAAATACAATCTTAATATTCAGTCCCAACATGTGAATATTGGTGCAACGGTGCTGTATCTTTAATGGTGATACTCCATACTGAAATGACAAGCGCTTGACTGTGTTCACACTGGTGCCCCACATAGATGTAAACTCACCGTCATTTCATGACCACCTATCTTTAGGTAAGTCACACTCGCTTTTTGGGACTATCCCAGTTTGCAATCCGGTCCTGATGGACGATATTCCTTCGCCCTTATAACCGTGGTTGCTGGTAGTAACCAATAACTTTCCACTAGACCTGCATCAATGTTAGACAACTCCTCTCCTCCACAGGCAGTATTTCATATTTTCAGCATAAATCAAAACAAAACCAGACATCCCATAGTGTAAAACTGTATAAAACTTTAATATGGGGTCAAACAATAGAAATGCCACTCGCAAAAAAAGGTGCCTTTCCTGGCACTAGGTGTATTCAGCTTTGTGTATTATGAATGGGAATTATGATGCCCGCCACATTCCAGCGTGTGTTTCAAATACCGGAAGTGACGTCAGCGGAAATTGTGTCATAAGCCCTCGACTAGTTTCGACCAATAGATCGTCTTCAGGAAGTACTTATCACTTTAAAGATTGCACAGTTTATTTTGTCAATTTGTGACCTTAGCGCGGTCCAATTTTGAAATATATAAGATTTTGTGTTTAGAAATTCACATTTAGGACTGCTGCTATATAGTTATTTTATATAGTTAATTCTTTCACATATGTTAATTTATTTTTTTATTTCAGGTACTTATATAGTGCTGCCAATTTACGCAGCACTTTACACATATTTATAGAACATTCACATCAGCCCCTAACCCTCAAGGGGTGTACTATCTAAGGTCCCTAACTCACATAGACATATTAGGGACAATTTAGACAGAATCTAATTAACCTACCAGCATGTCTTTGGAGTGTGGGAGGAAACTGGAGCACCCAGAGGAAACCCACGCAAGCACAGGGAGATCATGCAAACTCCATGCAGGAGGTGCCATGGTCGGGAATCGAACCCACGACCCATTTACTGCAAGGCAGACGTGCCAACCACTAAGCCACTGTGCCGCCTTAATTTTAATTAATTAATTAATTATTTTCCTAAGCGCAACAGCACCCCTTTTGTTCTTTTAAACATATGAATCTACCTAGGTTTATAATATACATTTAATGCAAATAATACAAATTGCGTGTAATACAAATTAACATGAGCATATTCAAGACAATAACAAAAAACAAATGCTTGGAATGTATCAGCTTCAACCGGCCAATCAGCAGCAAATCAATGCGCTAATCAATAATACAGAACCAATCTAAACTTACAGAGGCCAAAGCTTTACCCAGCGCATCCCCAGTCTGCGAGCTTCCCGCTGCTCCGCTTCCTCTGTTCGCTGAAAGAGAAAAAAAAAACAAAAGCAAGAGTGTTAGAACAAGCAGGGAGGCATGTTACAGGTTTCTATTCCTGGTCCACTTACCCGTAATGTAATTGCATTTTAATGCTAATTATATTGCATTAATCTTTAATTAGCATTAATTTGTTTGCTAAGGTAGATGTCAAATATATTCATGTTACATTTTTATGAGCAAAAATATGAACGCGGCTGGTTATCCACTTATTTACGGTGCAATTATGCTATCTGATGCCCGGGCACCTCCGGATCCCTGTACAGGAGGAACGGTCCTAGGTTGGGGGATGCTAATCGTAACACGTGAACTTCAAAATAAGTGCAGTGTTAATTTAGGCCCCGCTCTGGAGAGGATGGAATTAATTCATCTGCTGATTTTGATTTCAAATGCAGAAAGCAGTGTTTTGTGTTCAGATTGCTGCAAAAACACACATTCATTGCAATGCATATGGGGAAATGAAGGTCTTCTGATATCACTGATGTTACGATATGCAGTGAATGTTGACCATAAAGACCAACCAAGCTAATATGTTGTAATTGTGAACAAAACTAAAAATGCAGTCAATGACTTGAACAGAGCAGTTGTAAGGAATGTTTTCACTTGTTGATCCAATATTATTATTATTATACAGTATTTATATAGCGCCAACAGTTTGCTGAGCGCTGTACATTACAATGGGGGACAATACATGAGACAGTACAATAACAATACAGTGCGAAACACGAGGGTTTCGAGGGCCCTGCTCCTTGGAGCTTACAATCTAGGAGGGAGGGGAATATTATATATTATATATATATAATATATATATTATATATATATATTATTCTGCTTCCTATAATAGGGGGAAAACGCTGTTTGGTCTGCAACAAAATTGTCACAGCAGTGTTTTCACCCTGTTAGATGGGGGTTGTCTTACATAAGCATGTTGCTTAGGCAAACTTTGACTAGGTGACAAATTAAAGCCATCTAATCATTTTTTTTGACCAAAAAAAGGAAAAATAAAAAAGTGAGCGCTCTCACATCAGCAGCCAATGCACCCAAGGCAATCACAGTAAAACCTCTAAAAATACACAAAAATATAAGAAGTGCGGCGCTAATGAGTACAAGATCTATAACCACATATATGTTTCAGATGATCCGGAACACAATGTGATATATATTAAACAGAGAGAATGACCAGTACATCAGATAAATGGTTAATAATGAAAATGTCCAAGCAAGTTATCGCAGGATCTTGCATAGAAGCTATAAAAGCCAGGATCAAACGGTAAAATTGCGCACTCACCGGACGCGCTATAAAAAAAGCGCATGTGTAGTATGACCCCTGGAAATCCCTCATCAATCGAGGACGATAAATAACTTTTTCTGGATAGCTTGGCACGTTTCAGAAAGTAAAAAAAATAACAGATCTACAAACAGGGCCAACAGGTAAGAAAACATTGGGGTTGACTTACTAAAGGCAAACAGACTTTGCACTTTGCAAGTGCAATTGCTCCATAACGTAAATGAGGGAGAGTGTTAATGACTTAAATTAAGAACAAATACTTATTTGTACAAAAGATATGCCCAGTCTAAATAGTAAATGGCAAAAAATATATAAAGGAATGCGCTAAATACCAAATCACATGAAAATGCAGATAAATACATAAATAAAATAAAAAATATATTTATAAATGTCCGTAATTCATATATAAGTCCAAACACCAAAATAAGTGATTAAAAAATCTCTTAAACAAGAAAAAAACACCGTGTAGCAAAATCCACCACCGAATGAAATGGGTAAACTCACCAGAGCTATTTGCTGATCAAATTATAAATCAGCAAAAATAGCAATTGCTCTGGGAGCGATGATCTGTTGGAGTATCCAGGAGCAATAGACTGCAATCAGCCAAATCAGCACACATGGAACAGCCTTAACTGCAAGTGGTCATCATGCCTTCATAACTTTGGAAATGCTCGGGGAATCAAAGAAGAGTATCATGGTGCAGTGTATTAAAACAAGGATAATTTTTATTGTAGCCTTAAATATGCACTCACAATAAAGGTGTCCAACCGACACCAGCAATAACAGCAATATCAGACTCAAAAAGCTAAAGAAGGGACAAGCCTCGCTGACCGCGATCACAGCCGACAGTCTCAAGGAGCGTCCTGACGTCCCATCTGCAAAGACGTCGGATGACGAAACGCGTAGGGCAGGGCTTAGTGGATGGGACGTCAGGACGCTCCTCGAGACTGTCGGCTGTGATCGCGGTGAGCGAGGCCTTCCGGTCTGGTATGGATTTTGAGGGGAACCCCCACGCAAAAAGTTAACAAATAAATGGTGTGGGGGTCCCGTCTAAAATCCATACCAGACCCTTATCCGAGTATGCAGCCCAGCAGGTCAGGGAAGGGGGGGGGCAATCGAGCGCCCCCCCTCCCCTTCTGAACCACACCAGGCCACATGCCCTCAATATGGGGGGGTGCTTTTGGACAGAGGGGCTCCCATTCACTAAAAAAAAAAAACCTGTAGTGTGAAAAAAGACAGATGACAGGCTTTGACAAGTCCTTTATTAAAAGAAGGAAAGAGAATGTCCCCCGAAGTAGATGCAGCATGAATCACGATGCCCGCCGCCACTGACCTGAAAACATATTTGTTAAAAAAGTCTCTGCTTCCGATGCTGGATCCCAGCCGTCTGACCGCTCCGCTGGCTTAAGAGTTCTTAAATATGTAAGGAGCAGGGCCACCCAGTGACATCACCCATGTGACCCCGCCCATGTGGCATCATCGACTAGGGCATGCTGTGTCAATGATGTCACACGGGGCGGGTCACATGTGTGATGTTACTGGGTGGCCCCTCCCCTTACATATTTAAGAACTGTCAAGCCAGTGGAGCAGTCAGATGGCCGGGGAGCCAGAGTAGGGAGCGCAGCCTTTTTTTTTTCTTTTTTTGGGTAGTGGCAGCAGGCATTGTGATTGACGTTGGATCTACTTCAGGGGACATTTTTTAATTTTCCTTCTTTTGATATAGGACTTGTCAAAGCCTGTCTCCTGTCTTTTTTCACACTACAGGTTTTTTTTTTTGTGAATGGGTAGCGGTACCTTGTACCCCATACTCATTCACATGGGGGGGGCAGGATTTGGGGACCCCCTTGCTAAAGAGGGCTTCCAGATTCCAATAAGCCACCCACCCGCAGGCCCCAACAACCACAGCCCAGGAATGTGGGGAAAAGGCCCTTGTCCCCATCAAAATAGGGAAAAGATACTTTGGGCGGGCCCAAAACACCCCCCTATTTTGAGGGCATGTGGCCTGGTATGGTTCAGGAGGGGAGGGGGGGGGCTCGCTCGTCCCCTCCTTTCCTGACCTGCCGGGCTGCATGCTAGGATAAGGGTTTGGTATGGATTTTGGGGGGGGCCCCCACGCAATTTTTTTTTTTTTTAAATTTTGGCGTGACGTCATTTTTTAAATTGCTGGAAATTTGTTTTTTTTTTTACATTCAGCTGTCTAATGACTCAGATGATTCATAGGTTGTTAGGGACTCGGCAGCCACCCAATCCTTAATAACCCATGACAGTACTGACAGATAACAGTACATACTGCAAGCCTGGACCACTACTTAATTAACGCATGCATTTCATTATTTATTTCCTTTTGTGAATTGACTTTAAGGTCTTTTTATGCTGTATTTACCAAGTGTTTTTGCTATTTTCGGTAAATACAGCATACTAGCAATAGTGAATTGACATTTTCAGTATCGCTTGCGATATGTAGTCATGTGACTGACTTAAACCATGCGATAAGCTTTAGTAAATTGTGCCCAGTATTACTGCATAAAACTTTCATCCAGCTAGATAGTATGAAAGGACATAGATAAAGGGCAGAAGCTGAAGAAATGGGACAGTGCAGGCAGGAGAGAGTATGCTGACTAAAGATTGTAAATACTAACAATAAGCAGGAGAATGGGTTGGCAGTTACAATCATACAGTCTAGAACAGCCTTTCTCAATAGTTTTTTTTCTCCCCAGGGGTACCCAGGTGCAGGGGTGTATTTACCACAAGGCAAATAAGGCATTTGCCTAGGGCAGCATTTCTCAGGGGGGGGGCAGCACTGCACCTCGGAAGAAGGGACACATGCGGCATGGGGACCTGGTGGGTTCCGAGACAGGCTGCGGGTTTCATGATGGTGTATGCACAGCCCAACTCTTGTTCCTGGGGATGTCCGGAGCTGTTAAGGTGAGTGTCTCTCTCATGCCATGGGGAATGGTGGCTGGTGTATGGGGGGGCAGTGGTAGTGGAAGGCTCTCTTGGGTGGGAGGCAGGGGTGTTGTTGGTCAATGTCAGGCTCTCTCTGCTGCGGGGGGGGGGGGGGGGGGGGGGGGGCGACGATTTTTTTGTTGCCTAGGGCAGCACAAAACCTAAATACACTACTGCCCAGGTGTTGAACTCTTGGTTAAACGGAGTCATTGGGGATCAGGTGAAAACATTTTGGTGGCTACAGTTGGAGGTCATTGGGAAAAATTCAAACCTTACATTGGTGGTCAGATTGCCCCCCTTACAGGCAGTTAATTGAAATCGTGCTACTAACTCTGCCACATACCAATGCCGCATAATTTGTATCAATGAGAGGAATAGGGCCCCATCACTGGTATCAATGGGAGGAATAAGGCCCTTCCATTGGTTTCTGTGAAATAAGGAGCCCAAATCGCTGCTACCAGTTTGAGGTATAGTGCCTCATATCAATGTGAGAAATATGAGATGTGAGAAATAGTGCCCCAATGTTGATGTCAGAGGAAGGAATTATGCCCCATCATTGGTGCCAGTGGGAGAAAGAGTGCCCCCCCCATCATCTGTGTCAGCAGAAGGAATAGTGACTTGTATTAATCGGAGAATAGTGGCCCAAGGGCCAGACAAGCAAAGGGGCACATTTGCAGTTTGGAGACCACTGATCTAAGGCCATGCGAAACCTCAGTGGCCAGTTTTGGATGGACTTGCCCTTTAAAATAAAAA